GACGCACCCCCAATAAAAATGGTTATTTAACATGTATATCCGACTCTTCAAATATTTTTTTTTGCAAGTTTTATTTGGTGTTTTTTTCACATTTTCAAACTTCACTCACTATTTATTGAATAGTTCATTATAATGTTTATAGTTCTGGCTCAATATTCATGACAAATTCAATGTCATTAAATGAATCCTGAGCATAGCAGAAAGATGAGAACTGTGCCATGTTTTTGCTTATTACGTATTCATGAGGAGCAAAAACGTGCATACGACTTGAGTAAATACGTGCGATTTGGCGAGCGCTGCGGTTCGCGAATCGTCTCGATCTCTAGCGTAGCTCTGTGTTGTGAGGACCCTACGTCACAAAAAATGTCGCGCGATGCATTGTGGGGGGGAACCGGCTCGATCACTAACTTGTTCTTTGCTCATTAAAACAATTAATTAAAAATAAGTCCGAGCTCCATTTTCCAAGACCAATTATATTTGGGCTTTTTAGATTTTTGTCTATCTAATCATTAAACCTTTTTAGCCGAGTGGACTTGTCCTTTAAAGATTATTAAAGAAAGGGGAATTTCAGGAGTACAGCAGCTCCAAGAACAATGATTTTGATTTTGCAGACAATTACATGTAGTCTGTATACATTTAATAGGAACCCATCATTTTCTAGTGGGTTAAATGTACATATATAATGTTTTGACACCCATTTGTATTTAAAAATACTTAACAGACTAGACATGTTATACTTGTTTGGAACAAGTATAGGTGGGCTGGTCAACTAAAATTTGAGACAAAATAGAGCAAAAATAAGCGAGATACTGCTTAAAAATTCTTAAAAAACAATATCATGTAAATTCGTGACTTCACCTTCTATAGGCATAACACCTGAATTATGAAATTGCTGACATGGGGCCTTTAATCGAAATTTTTACTAGATGATGTCATCAAAATGATAAATGATGTACACTGAGCTTGTAGAAAATTATCTTAGCTACAACATATCGAAATTTGAGAGAAAATCGATCAATAATTACAGAGATACAATCAATTTTCCATAAATATGCTGACGTCATAATATGCAAATTCGTATTTTGAGTTCCAAGGCCATTATGATGACGTCATAATATTTGTAATGGCCAAATGAGACATGAAATCATATCTCCGACTCATACTCTATCAAAATTTGAAAAAAATATTGGTGTCCAGTTGCATTCTACAGAGCTATAATGGATTTTGTATAGGCCTGATTTTGCCCATATATGCTATGTATTAAAAGAGCTCGCGCGCACGGACATTTATCTTGAATGGACGCTCATCTTGTTATTAATGGTCATAAAGACATAAACATGGTAATAAATTGTTTGAAAAAACATGAGAAACATCATAGAAGAAAAAAAAAATGCGATTCTATGTTGTGTAATGGTGTTACGCGCGAAAATGCGTGCGCATGCGCGTGTGCGCGATTTTTTATGAAATGCTTAAAATGATCTAAAACGTATGCAAAAAAAATTGAGACGATTTTGAGCATGTAAAAAATTTGCGCGCGCATTGACGCACGGAAGTACGCGCATGCGCGCGTTTTTTGACATGAAATTGACCCGACGGATATTGACCTTGATCATGGAAAATATGAATGAGAAATGATTTACCGTTCTGAAAATATGATCATAAGTAAATTTTCAGAAAATTTCACAAAATGGCGCCTAGATGACGTCATCAGTCAAGGTCAAGGTTGAAAACATTACTTTATTTTGTTCATATGCCTATACATATGTGTGCCAAATTTCAAGGCATTTGATTGAGCCATTTTCAAGTTTTCTTGTTAACAAAAAAGTGGGTAGAATTAAGAAAAATAAATAATAAAGAATAAATAAAGGCGATTTTAACGAAAATATAAGGTGGTCTGTATTAGATACAGCCCACCTGATAACAAATAAATAATGTGCAAGAACATGGGCTTTCTCCCTACTGTTGTACCCAAGATGTATACCGGTACTTCAGGTTCCTGGACGGACATGTTTCTCAGATACATTGAGCCAAAGTATCCAATCTGCTTAAGTCCTGGTAATAACAATAAGTGCATCCCATGGCAAAAAGGTGTTTTATCAAAATATCATAATTTGTAAGGGTTCATATTTTGTGGGTGAATGCATGGATTAAGGGTCTTTTGTAACTAAAAGATTCCTGAAAAGTGAATGAAAAAGCAGCAATATCTGCTGACTTCCTCATTCACTAGGAGGGAGGCATGTCATCAAGATATTACAGGGAAAGAAACGCTCTACATGTAAATGTTTAAGTCGTCACAAGTTTTGATCAGTGCACATAGAAAAATGAAAATTTTACACCAAAGGCTCTTCACAAGAGTTTTTTCTAGGAAAAGGCAAGAATGCCTGAGTGATTGCAGTATTTCTTTGGATCATGTTACAGATCCATTCAGGAATACTACAGTGTAAAAGTATGTGTACATTCAACACATCAGCTACAAATGTTATTCTGCAAATAGTGTAAATAGCGAAATTACACTTGAAAAGAAATAAAAGTTAGCGCTAAAAACGAAATTTGAGTAGAATAATTGACACATGTTTATGCAAACATAACTTTCAGTCAACTTCTGTCTTGGCCTTTCAACCAAAAGCTATTTTTGTATTACAGCACTAGGCTTTCCAGAGGTACAGTAAGTCTCTTTATGATTGTCTGTCTTCTGTTTTGAAAACATTTCATCAGTGAATACAAATGTATGAAATAGCATATAGAAATTTCTTCCTGTATCTCCTGTGAAGTCATCCTTATTATCCAACCATCACTGTTCAAAATTTCTTTTTCTTTTTTCCCTTCCATCTTATTGATGAAAAAGATTCCATATACTAATCTAGCAGATCATATATGAAAAGGAAAACTATCAAAATATGAAGAAAATTAAAATTGGTAGTTCTCTAAAGAATAAATTCAAAGTAGCCTGTACGTGTGTTGACTGAAGGCAGCTTGCGACTGAACTGTCAGTCCAATGATTTTCTTGTGAAAACTTTCCTTTAGAATATGATAATCAAAATTCAGTAAACATGGCCGTAATAATCCCAAAACAAGCTTTGATTTCATACCTCCATTCACGAAAACTATATAAAAATCACGGCAATCATGATGGAAAAAGGTCTCTAAGTTTGGACGTCGACGGGAAGCCCCGTGTTTCTCTCTGACTTGTGCAGCTACTACAAAGCACACCCTATAGAAAGATGCTTTACTCTGGGTAATCCCGACGCTTTGCATGGTGCATTTCATACGCAACATAATGTGAGTTGATCGTCATCTGTCGTGTGTCTCTTTGATACGGATGTAATGTTGAATATGCATGAGGTATCTCTGTCGTCACGCATATCATGCATTATGCATATCGCGTCTGTTTTGGCCCTGGACGTCGACACGGAGGAGGAACTCAGGCGGAGTATAGCCAATTCCACAGAGTAGACTCTCCCTTGGACGATGGCACCGGGCACCGGGACCCCAAGGGGAGGGTTCAGGAGGAGATAGCTGCATCAACTTCGGTCGGCGATCTCATTAAAAAACAATAGAATACAAAGGCTCGCGGAGGCGTCATGCCCCCCGCGGTGTCTTAGCGTATTACAAAAGACGTTAAAAGATTGGAGTTGTTGGCGTTCAACAATAAGGGATAGAGCAACGTCGATCTGGCGCTGCTCAGTGGCCGCCGGGCTCACGATCAATTGGGCAAAAAGAATTTCTGTTTCGGTTTAATAAAATTTGGAGTGGACTATTAGGCTATTATTATTATTATTATTATTATTATCATTATAGTGATATTTGTTTTTAGCCTCATTTCATTTCGCAGCATTAAAATTTGAACCATTTGTGAAATGTTCAAGTAATTTAAACACTCAAATATTTCTGGTTTTACATGTTGAGTTTACTGGGACTAGATTTGGCCCCTGGAGCTTGAGAATAAGCTGATCTTTTGAACTAAATTAAGAAATCAGCGGAGTTAGAGATAACTGCAGGTATTTGTCATTCAAAAAGGTACTGGCAGTGCATTTAACAGGTGGAAGGTCATAAGCTCTAGCCCTGGCACAGCACAAATATCCTTTACTAAGGTACTATTCCATATTTGCCACTCTCTACCCAGGAGCTTTGAAACCACCTACTAATTGATATATTTGGTAAATTATTATATCTATCCGGACCGGGTACTCGAGGACACTTCTGGGCTTACAAGTGAATACTCGAATAGTCGAATAATTTAAAATAAAAACCGTACTACCGTTGAAGTATGGTGGTGGCAATTTCTTTTGTTTTATGGGGTTTTTTTGCCACCACCATACTACTATGGTAGAAATATCCCAGGTCAGTCTCCGAAAACTCACGCTATTTTACTTCGAGTTGCAGTTGAAGGCGCCGATTTGATAATAATAATAATAGTAAATAATGCTGGTTTAAAAACCAAAGATGACTTTACCTCCGAGTCCAAACAGAAATTCGGACATTTGGTCCCAGTTTCTGAGTGGTGAGTTGACAGTGATTGAGCTGGAAACATTTTTACCCACGGTGCCATGCTGGCGGCCGGCGCTCTCCCTTGTACGGGTAAGCGTCGACCTGGACAGTGTCAGGTGACCGTGATTTTTTTTTTTTTTTGCGGCCGAATATTCAAGTATGAGAAATCGTACTCGAGTAGTTGTCAACAGTGCGGGTACTCGAGCATTAGTCCCATCTTTCTGTGTACAGTGCTTGTAACTTTACCAAGACTGGGCCAAATTTCTTATCATTCTGATGATCCCAGAACCTTGCAGTACACACCACTACTTATATGCTAGATGATCAACCTTTTCTGATCAATTCCACACCGTTTCTTTCACAATGCAATCGCATGACCATAACTGGTCTTTATCTTTAAACGATGCCTTTAAGCAAGCACTGGTTGGGCCCCAAAACACTCTGGATGCAACACATTAAAAATGCATGCAAAATTAATATTAAACTGTCTGATAAGGGAAGATTATACTTACATAATCATGGAAGGCCTTCGCTTCACTTGAATGTTCACATGTTTCTCTCCTCTCCGGCGCAGCACAATATAAATCCCAAAACACACTGAAAGAGGGCATGGAAAATAAACAGATCTGTTAATGAACAGGGGATCACATGTGCACCTATTGATTATCTCCAATAACTTTGCTAGATGCTGTTTTGCAACCATTGAAGTACCGTACATTTATATTTCTTCCTCATTACAATTATGGAAAAGAAGTAATGACCTACTCAATTACTGGTAGATTTTACTATGAAGCTAAATATACATATGAAAACTCCCTGGTCATGTAACAATTTTAAGTTAGATACATAGTGAAAGGCCAGGAAGACCAGGGGCTACAACAAAGATAGACTTACATGTAGGGTAAACCCACCCTAAACTCATCCTTAGAATGATGCTAAACCATAGGACCAATATGGTACCAACTATAGCGTACTCCTACAGTGCTATGGAATATATCAAGCTACAAACTATATTCTCAAGTCTTGTATGGCCCAAAAGGAGGATCCATCATCCATGTTATGCAACTACAAAACAGTTCTTTCTACGATCTGATGAACCATTTGCAAAGTTCACTGAAAAAACAGGTATAAATGAATCTCTACAGATTATGCAACATAATACTGGGTAAATTACATGGTATATCTTTCTAAGACGTATGGAGATCACCCAGTTGATGGAGACATATAGGAGAGGCTTTTCACGATATAACAAATGAAAAATCAATCTCAATTCAAGAATTGTGCCATTGCTCAGCTCTTTAATGTGGCATATCAGTGCAATATTGTGATTTCTATTTGAGTATCATTTAAAAATCCCCATGATGACTTTTGTTATTCATCGCCATTCTTGAAATTTGTAGAGGGATATTTTCAACACACGACCATCTAGGAATACTCTCCATAAAGTGGAGATGGTGCACATTGTGCATGAATGAATCTGATGGCTGGGGCAATAATATCTGTAAAATGATTAGAGATGGTGTTTTGTATTAAGCGCTATATAAACAGTCTGAGAATGGGGAGCGTCCGCATAAACAAGGATATCCTCGTAAACGTGGACAAATCCTGTCCCCCAAAAAAGGACCGTCCACATTTTCGCTGACGTCTTTTTTTCTTCGGCGCTCTGCGGTGTAGGGTTCCCAATCCGAGCACTGGCAATGCGAAAAACAGATTTCGTGCAATAAAATACCTGCAGTTAACTGTCTACTTTTATGGGTTGTCCGTCTTCCAAAGGATTTATCATTCATAATGTGAAAGCCTCTGTACAAAGTCATTGTGAAATTATGCATCAAGGAGCATCATCGCGGAATCTTTTTTCGCATCGCCAACAGGCGGACCGGAAATAAGAATCGACCACATTTTATTTTTAAGACGTGTCTGACCGCTACGCGTTTAAGAAGACAATCCTTGTTTATGCGGACGATTGTAATTTTTATTATATATGTACAGTTGTGTGTAGTTCATTTACATTGAGACTTCCCCTCACAGGCCCTTTGCAAGTTATATCAGACATTATTTATTAGTAAAGATATTATGGTTCTCAGATACATACCATTTTGACTATCACTGCGAAATCAATTTCCTACAAATGTACATTAGCCAAATTCCAAAAATAAAGTTTAAACCCTGGACAGAACACTATACTTATAGTACCTAAAACTATCCTAAAACCTAACGGCAAGTCGGCAACCCTTCCCTCATACCTTTGATGAAAAAGAACCTGAAGCACTTGTCACCAGAGAAAATATTGATCATCCACACCATATTGTCAGGTTAGTAACTTAGTGGAAGTTTATTGCCAAAGTCATTTTTTGACCAAATTGAGATATTTGCCGGAAGCCCTAAATCAGGTCTCTTTTACACGAGCCAGCTACAACTTATGACCGTAAGTCAATTTTCAATATCAAACTATGTTTATTAATCGAAATATTAATTGCCAGAATCAAAATGAAACAAAAACATCTGAGATGTCTTTCTAATGTTCTTTCCTGGAGAAGTAAATATGATTTACCAGGTTGTCAATTACTTTTATTTACTACATTGATACTGTACTTACCACCACCATGAGTGCAGAAACCCCGGAGGCTCTCCTAATGTGATATTTTTCTCCCACCTTATCTATTATGGTAAATAGAGAATAAAAGGGGAAAAGAATGAAGTTTATGTAACAAAACAATAATTCCTCAATACATAATGTTGAGGTTTAATGGGTACCCATTCCTTGGATAATATGTTCTGACTAGTGCCTTGAACCCTCAACACTAATGAGTATGATGATTTAAAAAGAACAGTCCCTGGTTTTACTTCAGATGTAACGTAAATGGGTGGGGCATTCCACTCCCCTCACAGGGGAGTTATATTTAAAGGGCAATCCAACCCTTGTTATAATATATAAATTCATTTTGTATGAAGGTGGACAAGTGAGAGAAATATAATGGCAGAAGTTTGAAATAAATTGAACCATTAATAAGAAGGTTATGAGTGTTTGAAATAGGAAATTTTTATATCTATGCAAATCCGCAAATTGGCAATTTAGTCACTGGGTTATGCGGTACCGGTATTCACTGTCAATCACTGACAACTCTCCCAGTTTCTCACGTTCAAAAATACAACAAAATTGTTTATTTCTGAAGCACCTTCTCCATTGGGCACTAATCAAAATATAGTGGATAGCATATTATCAACGGTTCTATAAAAAGAAAAGACCTTCCTCAGCATACATTTTGAAAAATTGACATTTTAGTTATTTTGGGTGTTGGAATAAATGGGAAAGTCCGGCATTTTGTCACAGTGACACTGCCAATTCATCCAATTTGAGTGCCCTTACGTATATGTATGTATAATGATTAAAACTTTCAAAAAATCATAACTTTCTTGTTTTTTGTCCAATTTTGTTCAAACGTTCACGAGTCTGCTTCTCTGATTTCGTAAATTTGTCTTTTTGAAAAGACAAAATTTAATAATGCAATGCCCTTAGACTTAGTCATTGCACATTTCATATTTCTACACAACCCTTATGTAAAATAATATTCTGCATTTATTTTGTAGTACTTAATACATCAACGCTGTCTTTAAAGGTAATACAAAGTTTTGGGAAATTTTGAAAATTGGATGGATAGTGAATCTTTACAATTTTGATATATTTGGATGCCCCTGTGGATGTATTATAAGCACTAAAAAAATTAGCCCCTAAAACACTTCTGTTTTCGAGAAAAATTTAATATAAAAATTTACCGGTGCTCCGGGTAAATTTTGATAAATTTCAAATAGTGCCTATATGGCCGTACAATGGTAGCTGCGACCATGAAAATCTCAGAATATTAAGGTGGGATATATAATTTCCAAACGGGAATAGTTAATCGTTCGATTTTAGTCAAGAAATATTGTTTCATAGCTAAATTAATATCTTGACCGTGAGAGGGAGCTATACAACATAAAGAGTTTATTATTTATAATTTCATGACTTTAGACTCGATTTCAACCGCAACAACGATCAATGTATATTGTAGGAACGCATATGCTTCCAATATGTTAATTTGAACCAAATTCATGACCCCATACCAAAACTTTGTAATACCTTTAAGTGCTTTACAGATATATTATAGCCCGGTCATCGGATTCAGGCTTGCCCCACACACAATGTACTGTATGCATTCTCCACTCCCTGGGGAGCATTCCAGCCAGAAAATACAATCTTTATATCCAGCAGCAAAAAAAATGAAATTCATGAAATTGTGTAAAGAGCAAATGTGAGAGGATACACATCCGAGAGTTGCCATTTTTTTGTTTGGTTGAATACAACTTAAAACATTAAAAACTATGTGATTTCTTATAAGAATTTGCTCAAACTTTGAATAATCTGGTGCCCTCATTTTTTTGCTCACATTTAAATAATATACCGGTATATAAGAGTAGACCTCCCCGCAATCTATTTTAATTCATGTTCATGTACTATCAACGTAGCATAGGAAAATTACACTAATAATTTTACAAAAGCCTGTAACATGTGTATGAATATATTATACATGAATCATTATAGCTCATATCTTGAACAATTACAAAATTTTGCATCATAAAATGGTACTAAAATACTCGGTCAAAAATCTGTAACTACAAAAAAAACTTGAGTCCAGTAGTGCTGGGAGTTTGCGTGTAATTTCCTATCCGTGTACACTAATATAAAATTTACACACAAAAAAAACAGTATTTCAGCCACGTAAGACCAGCATACATGAATGCCAAATTTCAAAAAACTTCATAAAAATGTGATCATTGGGATAAATATTGTTTTTCCGACTTCTCATTCAATCACAATATTGTCTACAAAACATTATTTTTCATTTTGGTTGCCTTCCTCTCTATAGCCAAGTTAGATAAATTTTTTCCTTTTACATGTAGTTCATTAATTTATTTTCCATACACCCCCCTTCAAATAGGCTTTCATCGAAAGGGTGCGGTGCGGTGCGGCGCGGTGTGGTGTGCTCAACGCACCCATTCGATAAAAGAGGGGGCCTTTTCTCGAAAGGGTGCGTTGAGAGCGGAGTACCGTTTTAACACACCCTTTCGATGAAAGCGGGGGGGCTTTTCTCGAAAGGGTGCGTCGACTAGTCTTTCGCATCAGTCGTTTAAAATGAGGATCTCGGACAGAAGGTAATAGTTGCCAATTTAAGTATATCGAAAATGTATTAAATAAAATGGAATGGTCTTGATTACAGAGTGGTCTCTTTGATGGGGGAGACAGAGAGAAGGAAAAAGGGAAAGGGAAAGGGAAGATAAAAGGAAAGAAAGAAGAAAAAGAAGAGAAGAGGGAAACGGGGGGGGGAGGACTCTTGCCCCCCCCCCCCCCCCCGCCAAAAAATAAATCAGAGAGAGAAGGGAAAGGGAAAGGGAAGGAGAAGATAAAAGGAAAGAAAGAAGAGGAAGAAGAAGAAAAGAGGGGGGCAAAGGGCTCTTGCCTCCTCCCCCCGCCAACAAATAAATAGCAGAGAGAGAGAGAGATAGAGAGAAGGGAAAAGGAAAGGGAAAGAAAATATAAAAGGAAAGAAAGAAGAAGAAGAAGGAAAGAGGGAAACTGGGGAAGGGCAAAAGGGAGAGAGAGAGAGAGAGAGAGAGAGAAGGGAAAGGGAAATGGAAAGAGAATATAAAAGGAAAGAAAGAAGGAAAGATGGATAGGGAAGGGTGAAAGATTCTTACCTCCCCACCCTCCCCCCCCCCCCCCCCCTCCCGCCAAAAAAAAAAATAAAGAGAGAGAGAGAGAGAGAGAAGGGAAAGGGAAAGAAAATATAAAGGAAAGAAAGAAGAAGAAGAAGGAAAGATGGATACTGAGGAAGGGCGAAAGGTTCTAACCTCCCCCCCCCCCACCCCCTCCCGCCAAAAAAATAAATAACAGAGAGAGAGAGACAGAAGGGAGAGGGAAAGAAAATCTAAAAGGAAAGAAAGAAGAGGAAAAAGAATAAGCAAAGAGGGAAAGGGGGCGAAGGGCTCTTGCCTCCCCCCTGCCAACAAATAAATAAAAGAGAGAGAGAGAAGGGAAAGGGAAAGAAAATATAAAAGGAAAGAAAGAAGAAGAAGAAGGAAAGATGGATAGGGGAAGGGTGAAAGATTCTTACCTCCCCACCCCCCCCCCCCCTCCCGCCAAAAAAAAAAAAATAAGAGAGAGAGAGAGAGAGAGAGAGAGAAGGGAGAGGGAAAGAAAATCTAAAAGGAAAGAAAGAAGAGGAAAAAGAATAAGAAAAGAGGGAAAGGGGGCGAAGGGCTCTTGCCAACAAAATAAATAAGAGAGAGAGAGAGAGAAGGGAAAGGGAAAGAAAAGATAAAAGGAAAGAAAGAAGAGGAAGAAGAAGAAGAAAAGAGGGAAACGGGGGCGAAAGGCTCTTGCCCCCCCCCCCCCGCCAAAAAATAAATAAGAGAGAAAGAGAGAAGGGAAAGGGAAAGGGAAAGAGAATAAAAAGGAAAGAAAGAAGAATAAGAAGAAAAGAGGGAAACGGGGGCGAAGGGCTCTTGCCTCCTCCCCCCCCCCCCCCCCCGCCAACAAATAAATAGGAGAGAGAGAGAGAGAGAGAGAGAGAGAAGGGACAGGAAAAGAAAATATAAAAGGAAAGAAAGAAGAAGAAGAAGGAAAGATGGATACGGGGGAAGGGCGAAAGGTTCTTACCTCCCCCCCCCCCCTTCCCGCCAAAAAATTAATAAGAGAGAGAGAGAGAAGGGAGAGGGAAAGAAAATCTAAAAGGAAAGAAAGAAGAGGAAAAAGAATAAGAAAAGAGGGAAAGGGGGCGAAGGGCTCTTGCCAACAAAATAATTAAGAGAGAGAGAGAGAAGGGAAAGGGAAAGAGAAGATAAAAGGAAAGAAAGAAGAGGAAGAAGAAGAAGAAGAAAAGAGGGAAACGGGGGCGAAGGGCTCTTGCCCCCCCCCCCCCGCCAAAAATAAATAAGAGAGAGAGAAGGGAGAGGGAAAGAAAATATAAGAGGAAAGAAAGAAGAGGAATAAGAAGGAAAGAGGGAAACGGGGGAAGGGCGAAGGGCTCTTGCCCCCCCCCCCCCCGCCAACAAAATTAATAAGAGAGAGAGAGAGAGTGAAGGGAGAGGGAAAGAAAATATAACAGGAAAGAAAGAAGAGGAATAAGAAGGAAAGAGGGAAACGGGCGAAGGGCTCTTGCCTCCTCCCTCCCCCCCCCCCCCCCCCCGCCAAAAAATAAATAAGAGAGAGAGAGAGAGAATCTGTTCTGATCCTGGTCCTGATCCTAAAGAGGGATATAAAGATGACCAATAAGAACGTTATTGTTCGAGAGAGAGTGTTTGTTGCTTCTAGAACATTTTAGAATTAAGTCCCATCACATTGCAGTTGTGGGGAGGGACTATTATTACCCCCTTGGATGGCTTCCCAGAGTCTGGCTTTGAAGGTTTCGACTGCGTCGCAGGCAAAGATGCTGGGGGGGGGGGAAGTAAATTCCAGGCCCGTATGGTTCTTGGAAAGAAGGTGAGTCGATATATATCCGTCTTGCATCTTATGTTGGAGAAGGAGAGGGAAAGAGAAGATAAAAGGAAAGAAAGAAGAGGAAGAGGAAGAAGAATTTGTGTTCTGTCAGTGTCACAAATAGATATATAAATATGCTCATCTG